GCCAGCCAGCGCCACTGCGGTGAGTGCGCCTGTGGGGTCAGTGCCCACGCCACCTCTACCCGTCAGGCGATCGCAAACATGGATCCAGGGGGCGTGGATTGGCGACGGGCCCCGCTTCCATGGGACATCGCGGGTTTCCGCCGCCGAGCGAGGCGGCGCCGGTCGCATTTGGGGGAGGGCACCTCCCCCGATCCATGGATTTGGCGACCGCGTGCCAAATCCATGGATCGCTGATCCACGTTTGCGCGCCCCCGAACATGGGTAGGGGAAGAGTTAGGGGAACGAGCAATGACATAAACATGAGAGCTCGGAGGTCCGCGCGGATTTCTCGGATCCGCGCTGGAGCCCCCCTTGGCGGCGCCTCCGGACTCTGGGCGACCGCGCGCCAAGCGTCCATGGACCGGTGCGCCGTCTAGGCGCGGCTTCTTCCTGTCCGCCTCCCTCCCTGGACCCCTCCCTGCCCACCTTCCTCCACCTCCCTCCCTGGAGCTGTCCGCCTCCACCTCCCTCCTGTCTTCTTCCCGCCCAGGCCGATCCATGGATCTGGACCGCGCGCCAAGCGTCCATGGACCGCTGGTCCGCGCCTGCGCGCCCCCGCCCGCCCGATCGGGCCGAGACCCGAGACTTCCCCGGGGCGGCAGGGCGGGCGGCGAGCCCCGCGCCCAGGGGCGCATCGGTGGGCTGCGCCGACCGCGCGGGGGCGGCCACGCCACGCGCCCTCGCCGTCCTCGGCTTGGCTCAAGTCGGGCCTGTCCCTCCACAGGAGGAGTATTCAAAAATATCCAAAAAGTACTCTTGGGGACTATTCCCTTTTCTATATTTTTACAATCCGGGGGGGTGGGAAAGCACCCCCCCCCCCCGAAAATCGGACCCCCGGGATCTGGCGCTTTTGGGGCCCCCTGGACGCCTTGCAAGGGGTCCCCCGGGCCTTCCGGGCCTCCTGGACGCCCCTGCCGGGCCTTGCCAGCGGGCCCAAAGTGGTCAGGAGGGCGGCCAAACGGCCCCGCGAGAGCCCCACGCGGCCCCAGACAGCCCCAAGACGCCCGAAGACGACCCAAAGAAGACCCCCAAGAGGTCCTCCAAGTGCAAAAAAACAGCACTTTCCTTTCCTTTCCTTTTTTTGTTAAAAATAAAGAATGAATTTTTGGACATTCGGTTCCTTGGTATTCCGTGCGTCCGAGTCCGCCGAAGAGGCCCCCAAAATCCTCCCACAACGGTGTCAAAGGGCTTCCAGACAGTCCAAAAGAGCCCCAATATGGTCCAACAGGGCCGCAAGATGGCCCCAAGAGAGCCCCGCTGACAGCCCCAGATGGCCCCAAGACGCCTCCCGAAGCACTCCAAATCGTGACCCGGTCGTTCAGGGAGACCGTGGTTGGTAGCAAGGTGGCCGCAAGAAGCCCCCAGAGGCCCCCAAAAGGCGCCCAGGAGGCCCCCAGAGGTCCCCAAAAAGCTTTTGAGAGGGGCCCAGGAACACCTCCAAAGAGGAGCCCCTGCAATAAAAACTGGGGATGAGGACAAGGAGTGGCTCGCAGACAAGGAAGATTACGAGTAAGAGGAGAGGAAGTAGAAGGATAGTACATAACATTACTATAACGACGATGGCGCAAACGGCAACAATGAATCATCGCTATATTTGGCTCTCCTGCATGCCGAGCTTCAATAACCAAGGTGCATGGCGCGAAGCGCCAATGCAGTCTTGTATATATATATATATATATATATGTATATATATATATAACATTTTTGGGCCATTTCGGAGCATTTCCGGAGTATTTTTAAATTTTCGCTCGAAATCCCCCTGTAGGGGGACAGGCCCGACTTAAAGGCTTGGCGTCTGGGGTCGTGGGCGGCCTGGGTTGCCTCCGGCCGGCGGTGGTGCGGGGTGCGCGGCACGCGGCGGGCCCAGTTTTCAGCGCTGCCGCATGGAAGGGAGGCGTCGTGTGGCGCCGCCGCCCCTCTCTCGGCGCACCCCTCGCACGCTTCGCGGCCTCGTCCCCCGAGGCCCCGGTTGGAGGGCTCGCACGGCACCGCCGCCCCTCTCTCGGCGCACCCCTCGCACGCTTCGCGTTTCCATAGGCGAGCTCCACCCAAGGCTCTACTGTGAGGGTTCGCGTGGCACCGCCGCTGCATTTCGGCATGCCCCTCACCCGCATGGCGGCCCCGCCCCGTCTCGGCGCACCCTTTGCGCGCTTCGTGGCCACAGGAGATCCACCGAAGGCTATATTCACAACGACAGTACTCACAACTGCAGACGTTTGGGTCCTTCACCAAAACCATGTGTAAGTTCATTGGGCCCTCACTAAGAACCCCTCGGGGCGCGCATAGATCTTTCGATGTGTTTGTTGTTAGTTTTTCTGGGGCATCCCAGGTGGTGTTCGTATTTTCTGCTGCTGTTCATGATTTTGCCCCAACCATCTTGTGGTGTTGGGTCCTCGCTTTCAAGAGAAACCGCCCCGCGTCTTCTCTCCTCTCCTCTCCTCTCCTCTTCCCCACTTTCCTCCTCCCTTCCTCCCTCCTCCCATCCATGCCTTTGCCCTCCGCATGTGAAACATATCGGCACGCCCCTCATGCATTCCATGGCCCCACAAAGTGGGACAGGCAGGGCAGAACTAGAGAGAGAGAGAGAAAGAGAGAGAAAAGAGAGAAAGAGAGAAATAACGAGAGAGAAAGAGAGGGAGAGGGAGAGGGAGCTGTACGGGAGAGACGAAAGAGCAGTGATACAGAGAGAGAGAGAGAAAGAGAGAGCGAGATCGGAACAGGTAATATTGAGATAGTGATGCAGAGGCGCTATACAATTCATAGAATTTACACATACAGAGAGAGAGAGAGAGAGACATACCATTCAACATCTAGATCTAGGGGATGGGCATTTTAGAATAAGGAGCAAGCCGATTGGAAACACGACTAGCAGCCAGCCTGCCCGAGCGCGGAGATGACAGAACATCTCCATCACGTATACACGGGTGCACATGTTTGTCTAACTTACGCCAGGAGGAATACAGTCAGTCAAGCGGTGTGTGTGTATGCATATACAGTACATATCTTCGCATACATACACATGTCTGCGCATATTAGGTATATGTACACACATATACATAACAAGTACGTATGCACTTGCGAAGGTGTATATGCACAGCTTTATATGATCATATACTTTTATAGCGAGATTTGCAAGACAAACATGTACGGGTCAGGCATCGGACCGAACATATATTTGCTGGTTTGTAAACTAGAGAAACAAAGGAAGAGAGAGCGAGAGAGAGAGAGAGAGTGCGATAGAGATACGGATGCCTTACGTGTAGCAGAGATTCGAGAGAGAGAGAGAGAGAGTGTGCACCGAGACATCAAACATGCCATGGTGCTGATCAGGAGAGGAGGAGGGGGTAGATCGAGAGAGAGGGAGAGAGAGATATACAAATGTGTGCGAGAGATGCAAGTGTGTGCGAGAGCGAGCGAGCGAGAGACCGGTAGAACTTTGGGCCTGCTCCGTTCCTCATGAACTCCTATTGGCACACGGTTCAAACCCAGTAGTCACTGATTCGGATGCAGTTGGGATCATCAGGATTTGGTGTATGCGCCGTTCCTGTTGAAGCGTGGTCGTAACGCAATGTAGCCGAATAGGATAGGAATTCCTTGGGTTTGGGTATTACCCGTTGATTTGAATTCGTCTTAGATTTCGATTCGAATCCAGCAGAAATCCTCTGGGTTTGATGTTTGCGCCGTTCCTATCGAAGTCCTATTGCGAATCTCCTGGGCACTGGATCTGCTCCATTCCGAGTGGGATCCTATTGGAACCCGGTTCAAATGCAATAGGACATTTTTGGGCTGGGGACCTCCGCCTTTCCGAGTGCAATCTTTTTATACATCAATTCGAATTGAGCAGGGATCATGCGGATCTGGGGTTTATGTTCTTTTCCGACGAGTGAACTCCTATTGACGTCCGTCTCGCGTTCGATGCCGATTTTTGGGGTCGAACCCTTTCCTCGGCATCGCTCGGACGTGTGCATTTTTCCTTCGGCGAGGGCCATCGAGGAGGATCCTCGATGATTTGGCCGAACAACCACGCAATACACCTAAAAAAGCACAGGGAAGGGACGTCCGAGCGATGGCCAGTTTCTGGATTCTGCATCCGGGTCTGGATCTCGGACCTGCCCCAACTCCTTGGGGAATTCTTCTTCCAATCCATTTGGGATTCTCTCGATGTGCGGGCTGTTCTTTTTTTTTCCCGATTGAAATCCGATTGAAGTTGCATCTACATCCAAGAGGAGAACTGGATTTGGATCCTGCGGCGTTCCCATTCCATCATATTTCCAGAAACCGATGCGCAAGGAAGAATCCCTTGAATCTGGGATCTGCTTCAATCCTGGTGGGACCACCTTCAAATTCTTTTACATGAGATCAGAAATCCTCTGCATCTGGGATCTGTCTGCTCCATTCCAACTGGGATATGTTGTAGTTCTATTATGGGGCCTGCTCCGTTCCTGCTGTCACGTCGGTCGAACTCTCTTCGAACGCAATCGGATTATCCAGTCCGCTCCCTCTCTCTCGCTCTCTCTATTGTGTGTCTTCTCTCTCCCTCTCTCTCTCTCTGTCTTCTCTCTCTCTCACTCGCTTTCTCTCTCTCTCTCTCTCCTTCTGTGTCTCTCCAGCAAAGCTTGAAACGGACCAGGCCTGCATCCAGGCTGCCGCCGCAGGAGGAGGAGGAGGAGGAGGAGGAGGAAGGGGAGGGGGAGAAGGGGGCGAAGGAGTGAAAGGAGGAGGGGGAGGACGTTGGCTCAACTCAGACAATCAGGCGGATAGGGCGGGAGGAGAGCGCGAGCTGGAGCGAGGAGGCGGATGGAAGAGGAGGAGGAGGAGGAGGAGTAGGAGGAGGAGGAGGAGGAGTAGGAGGAGGAGGAGGTGGAGCGAGGAGCGAGGAGCGAGGATGGCGCGAGAAGGGCGCGAGGAGCGAGGATGGCGAGAAAAGGGCGCGAGGAGGAGCGGCGCGGCAACCTCCGCAGGACCACCGCTTCACGCCGCCGCCCGTGGCGGCGCACCTGCCCCGGCCCCAGCCGGCCCCTGGCCAGCCCGGGAAGCTTTGGCCCCGGCGTCCTCGGCATCGCTCGGACGTGTGCATTTTCCCTTTGGGCGAGGGCCATCGAGGAGCATCCTTGATCATGTGGCGAAGGAACCGCGCACGAAACCGACAAAAAGCACAGGGAATGGACGTCCGAGCAATGGCCAGCGTCGGGGAGTGGCCAAGGGAGGGCTCTCAGTCCGCACGGCAGCTTCGCTTTTTTCATTCCTGCGCTGATCGAGTATCATCCCACCAGCCAGCATCTATCGTCATCACCACCACTATCACTATCGCCATCCTCCTCCTCCTGATCCTCGTCACCATCACCACCACCATCATCAACACCAAGATCAGCATAGCCATAACCATAACCATAATCATGGCCATCATACTCATAACCACCACCACCGCCGCCATCATCATCAGCATCATCATAATCAGCATCGTAAACAGCATCATCGTCATCATTATCATCCTCATCCTCATCATCCTCATCAGCATCATCATCACTATCATCATCTTCATCATCAGCATCATCAGCATTATCAGCATCATCATCAGCGTCATCACTCATGATTACCAGCATCATTATCAGCTTCAGATTCGTCTGCATCGTCATCATTATCACCATCATCATCATGATTAGTATGATCATTAGTATCATCATCATTAGTGCCCGCTCCTTACTTACTTTTCACCATTATCGTCATCATCGTCATCATCATATTCACGCTCATCATCATGATCATCATCATCAGCAGCAGTAGCAACAGCATCGTCACCACCATCATCATCAGCAGCATCAGCAACGACACCATCACCATGATCAGCATAATCACCAGCTTCATTTCATCTTCTCGTAATCATTATCATCACCATCATCATAATCATCATCATCATCGTCATCAACATCAGCATCATCGACATCATCATCATCATCATCATCATCATCATCATCAGCGTCACTATCATCATCATCATCATCATCATCAGCAGCAGCAGCAGCAGCACCATCAGCATCACTATCATGATTATCATCATCATCATCATCATAATCATCATCATCATCATCATCATAATCATCATCTTCATCTTCATCATTTTCATCCTCATTTTCCTCATCATCATGATCATCATCATCGTCATCATCATCATCATCATCATCATCATCATCATCATTATCATTATCATCATCATCATCATCATCATCATCATCATCATCATCATCATCATCATCGTCATCGTCATCAGTGTCGTCCAGCCTCACCTTAGGTGGCCGCTGGGGCTCGAGCCTTGCGGGAGGTCGCGGGGCCCTCCGTTGCGCTCGCTCTCGCCGCACCCAGCCCACCGTCGCCCGCTGGCGGCCGCTCGCGTTGGACGTTGGATGGCCGCCCTTTCCGTGCGACCCCCTCGGCTTGGCGACGGTGGAGGGCGCAGTGCACGGCGGTGCGCTGTGCCCGCGCGGTGGCGGCCGCGGCGTGTGGGTCGAGAAGGCCTTGATTCAATCACGGTGAGGGGGTGCGGCGCCTGTCTCCGGGAGGTCGCGTCGGCAGCCTGGAGTTTGCGGTGGTGGTGCCCTGGAGGCCGCGCCGGACACCGTGAGGGCTGTGGATTGGGTCATCGAGCCAGCAACGGTGTTCGCTGGTCATCTTCTTTTGGATTATTTTCTATCTTTCGTTAAAAAGTCCGCCTGTAGGGGGACATGCCCGACCTATGGATAGTGCTGGCCTGGGCGACGGGGCCGTCGTCATTCTTCGTTCGGGTGCTGGCGGCGGGGCCCACGGATCTTGCGAGGGCGTGACCCAGCGATGGGTGAGCTGGAGGCCGAGGCAGACCGCCCGAAGAACGTGTGGCGCCGGCGTCGACACAGGAGGCTGGGGTGAACCTCGCAGACACTTCAAGAACGGGCTATTATGATGAGGGCACCTTGCGAGTTGGCCATTCATATCATGCAGCTCAATCCCAATCAATGCCTACATCCTTTGGATTAGCCCCTTTGTACTGGGTCTACTTCTTTGTTAGGGTGCTCTCAGACACCATCTTCTTCTTCTTCCGGGGTGAACCTCGTGACCGGACTGCTCGCCGATCGCAGGGCCGCCCCTCGACAGGACGGCGCGCAAGCCACGGCCGCTGCTCTCTGGTGCCTGGGGTTGAGCAGCAGCTGCAGTGCCGCGCCTGTCGCTTGCAGCTGCTGCTTCGGTCAGGAGTCCGAGGTCGAGCCTGAGCGCGTCCACTGCGTCAGTCTCCGCCTCGACCTCGTGTTGCGTGCACGCCGAGCCGAGCCTCAGCCCCCTGGGCTCCGCCCCCCCCCCCCTCCCCCCCCTCCTCCTCCCCTCTACCCCCCCCCCCCCACCCCTCTCCTCCTCCTCTCCTCCCTCCTCCTCCTTCCTCATCCTTCCCCTCCTCCTCCTCCTCCTCCTCCTCCTCCTCCTCCTCCTCCTCCTCCTCCTCCTCCCCCCCTCCTCCTCCTCCTCCTCCTCGCCGAGACGATCCGTGCCGGCATGCGTGCCGGCCTGGCGTCGCCATGCCCCCGGGGCGGCCGCCCCGTCGTCCTCCGCGCTCGGCCGCCCGGTTGGATGCACCTCCGTCCGCTGCGGTCCAGGCGCGCGGCCGCGGGGTGAGCTTGAAGGTCACTTTGGGTGACGCCTGTACCGCCTCCTCGCTCCTCGCTCCTCCTCCTCGCTCCTCCTCCTCGCTCCTCGCTCCTCCTCCTCGCTCCTCGCTCCTCCTCGCTCCTCCTCGCTCCTCCTCCTCCCTCCTCCTCGCTCCTCCTCCTCCTTTCCTCCTCCTCCCCCTCCTCCTCTTCCTCCTCCCCCTCCCCCATTGCCCCCCTTCCCCCCCCCCCCGGACGGAGAGCGGGCAGGGAGAGGGGGGGAGGAGCGGAAAGGATCGAGGAGCAGCGAGGCGAAGGGAAGGGCCAGACAGGGGATGAGGACGAGAAGGACAGCATGGGGAATGGGAAGCACGAGGGGCACAGAAGGACGCGAAGGAAGAATGGGTGGGAGGATGGGGCCGTCGCGCGCCGTGTTCGCAGGTGGAGCGCGCGCGCGCGCGCGGAGGAGCGGGCCGCCCGCGTGCGCTTCGCGCCGCGGCGGGGTGCGTGCGATTCGCGGCGCGCGAAAGTTGCCAGGGGCCGCGCAGGGCGCGGCGCGGGGAATAGGCTGTCGGTGATTATGTTGATGATGATGACGCTGAGGACGACGACGGCAACGACGACGACGTACTTCGACGCCGACACCGGAGAGCGGGACATGAAGGATAGACGAGATACCCCCCTTCGGACCGTTCCCTCCCCTCGGGCCGTTCCCTCCCCTTCCCGTCACTTCCCCGCCCCTCTCCCTGGCCCATCACAGGCCGCCCTTTCTTCCCTCTCCACACTCCTCTCCACCCTGGCTCACCCCCCGTCTTCCTCCCTCTGCTTCCAAGTCGCATCCCGAAGAGGTCCGTTCCACCGCATTCATCTTCCCCTCCACTGCGTCCACCTCTTCCCGCCTGACTTGCCCCTGGCCCTGCCGCTAGTACATGGTGGTGACGGGAACGATGATGACGATGACGATGACGATGACGATGACGATGATGATGATGATGATGATGATGATGATGATGGTGATGGTGATGGTGATGGTGATGGTGGGGATGGTGGTGGTGAAAGTGATGGTACTGGTGATGGGGATGACAATGCTGTTTCCCGGGATGATGCTAATGATGTTAATGATGAGGACGAATATGATGATGATGATTATGATGACGGTGATGATGGTGATGGTGGTGGTGATGGTGATTACGATACTGACGATTATGATACCGATGGTGCAGATGAAGTTGATGATGATGATGATTCTGAAATGATGACGGTGGCGATAACGATGACAATGACGATGATGATGTTGTTGATGATGACGATGATATTGTTGAGGATGTGATGATGAAATGATGATGATGCTGATGATGATGTCGATCATGAGTATGACGGTGACGATGACGACGATTCGGATGATAATGATTATCATGATGATGCTGATGATGATGATGCTGATTGTGCTGGTGATGCTGATGATCATGATGATGAGGATGATGAGGATGATGAGGATGGATGACGATGGTGACGATGATGGTGATTATGGTGATGTTGATGATGGTGATGATAATGAGAATGGCCATGCTCGTGATGATGCTGATGATGCTGATGATGGCACTGCTGATGCCGAGGATGGGATGATGACGAAGACGATGAAAGTGACAGTGACGATGCGGATGAGGATGATAACGATGCTGGTGATGATGATGTTGATGATGATGGTGATAATGCCGATGCTGCTGATGATGATGAAGATGATGATGACGATGATGATGATGGTGGTGATGATGATGCTGATGATGATGACGAGGGTAAAGATGTGGATGAGGATGATGATGCTGATGATTGCCAAAACGACGATGATGATGGTGATGATCATGATGATGATGATTAGGATGAGGATGAGGATGAGGATGCTGATAAGGATGAGGATGCGGATGAGGATGAGGATGAGGATGAGGATGAGGATGATGAGGATGAGGATGAGGATGAGGATGATGATGATGATGCTGATGATGAGGAGGAGGATGAGGATGATAATGATGATGATGACGACGACGATGATGATGATGATGCTGATGATTATGATGACGATGATGATGATGGTAATGATGATGATGATGATGATGATGATTCGGATTATGATTATGATGCTGATTAGGATGATCATGAGGATGATGATGAGGATGATGTGGTGGTGGTGGTGGTGGTGGTGATGATGATGATGATGATGATGGTGATGATGATGATGATGATGTTGCTGATGATGATGATGATGCTGCCGCTGCTGATGCTGATGATGGCGCCGATGCTGATGAGGATGAGGTGGAGGAGGAGACGGATGAGGGGGAGGAGGAAGAGAAGGATCAGGAAGAGGAGGAATACATGGAAGAGGAGGTGGAGGAGGAGGAGGAGGAGGAGTTAGAGAAGGAGGAGGAGGATGAGGAGGAGGGGGAGGAGGAGGAGGAGGAGGAGGAGGAGGCGGAGGAGGAGGAGGAGAAGGAGGAAGAGGAGGAGGAGGAGGAGGAGAGAGGGGAGGAGGAGGAGGAGGAGGAGGAGGAGGAGGAGGAGGAGGAGGAGGAGGAGGAAGGAGGAGGAGGAGGATATGGAGGAGGAGGAGGGGGAGGAGAGAGGAGGAGGAGGAGGACGAGGAGGCGAGGAGGACGAGGACGGAGGAGAGGAGGAGGAGAGGAGGAGGAGGAGGGAGGAGGAGGAGGGAGGAGATGGAGGAGGAGGAGGAGGAGGTGGAGGAGGAGGAGGAGGAGGAGGAGATGGAGATGGAGATGGAGGAGGAGGAGGAGGAGGAGGAGGAGGAGGAGGAGGACGAGGTCGAGGAGGAGGAGGACGAGGACGGGGAGCACGCAGCCCGACGTCCTCTCGGCGGAGACCGGCTCCCGAGGTGTCCCTCGGAGGGCTCGCCGCCGCCCCCCGGTCTGACCTCGCCCCTCGCGCGGACCTCGACAGGCCGGGCCCCGCGGCCGGCGGCCACCTCGGGCGGCAGCGGCGGCAGCGTCGGCAGCGGCGGCCACCTCGGCGGCCACGGCCGCCTCGGCGACGGCCGCCACGGCGGCCACGGCCACGTCGGCGACGGCCACGGCCGCCTCGGCGGCGGCGGCCACCTCGGCGGCGGCGGCCACCTCGGCGGCGGCGGCGGCCACGTCGGCGGCGGGCGCCTCCCAGTCCGTTTCTGGCTTTTCTCGGGCTCGAGGCGAGCACGCCGGGCTGCGACTCCTTTCGGGGGAGCGTAAGACCCGGGTTTGCCGGGACTCGGGTTCGCCATCGTTTTTTGACGACCGCGACTCGGATTTTGACGAGGAGGAGTTTCGTGGGATGTCTGCAGCGGGAGGCCTCGTCAAAATGCAGGCTCGGCCTCGTCATTTTTTTGACGATCTCGTCGGGGATTTCCGAGTCCCCCGTACCCGGGTCTTAAGTCTCCCCGATACTTGTCTGTTTTACAGACCTGACGAGTCACCCGCAGGGGCGCCAGTGCTGGGAGCCTGGTCCGTTCCGAACCGATCGATCTGATATCGATTGCGCCTGGCCCGATCCGATTCGGGTCCGATGTTCCGACGATTTGATGCGTCCCGATGCTTGCATCCTGTTGCGGCCGACCCGATCCGATCCCGATTCCGTGCCCATGCAGCGATCCGACGCGCATTCCGATGCTATCTGCTGTCCCGTTTTCGATGCTGACTGATCCTACCCTCCCCCGGGGGGGGCGAGAGGCGGAAGAGCCAGCCAGCCGCCGGAGGACGGCCACGAAGAAGAGGCGGAGAGGGAAGTGGAGGCGGGAGGCGGGAGGGGGGAGGTGGGAGGAGGGAGGAGGAGGAGGAGAGGAGTAAGGAGGAGGAGGAGGACGAGGAGGAGGAGAGGAGACGATGACGAGGTGGAGGAGGAGGAGGAGAGGAGGAGGTGAGGAGGAGGAGGAGGAGGAGGATGCGGAGTGCCAAGTGGATAACGTCATCTCGCGCATCCCCCCACCGCGGCCCGCCGCCAGGCCCGCGCGGCTCACCGGGCCCCGGCGCGGACGACGGCCCAGCGCTGCTGCATCCGGCGGCCGTGCGTGCGGTGGACGCCTCCGACAGGCCACGAGGAGGAGCAGGAGGAGGAGGCAGGATGGAGGAGGAGGAGGAGGAGGAGGAGGAGGAGGAAAAGAGAGGAGAAGGAGAAGAAGGAGATGGAGGAGTGGAGGATGGAGGAGGAGGACCACAGTTGGGGAGGAGGAGGAGAAGGAGGAGGGGAGACCACATTGGGGGAAGGGGAGGAGGAGGAGGAGGAGGAGGAGGAGGAGGAGGAGGGACCACTGTGGGGTTTGGGAGGTGGAGGAGGCGGAGGAGAGGGGAGGAGGACGGAGGAGGAGGAGGAGGAGGAGGAGGAGGCGGGAAGGAGGAGGAGGAGGAGGAGGAGGAGGAGGAGGAGGAGGAGGTAAGGAGGAGGAGAGGAGGAGAGAGGGGAGGAGGGGAGGAGGAGGAGGAGGGGAGGAGGAGGCGGAGGATGAGGAGGAGGAGGAGGAGGAGGAGGAGGAGAGAGTAGGAGGAGGAGGAGGAGGAGGAGGAGGAGGTAGGAGGAGGAGGAGGAGGAGGTAGGGGGGGGGGGGAGGAGGACCACCAGTCGGAAAGGAGGAGGAGGAGGAGGAGGGAGGAGGAGGAGGAGGAGGCGGAGGGGGAGGGGGAGGGGGGAGGGGTAAGGTGGTGGGGGAGGGGGATGAGGGGGTCGGGGAGGGGGTGGGGGAGGAGGAGGAGGAGGGGGGAGGAGGAGGAGGAGGACGGAGGAGGTGGAGGAGGAGGGGAGGAGGTAGGAGGAGAGGAGGAGGGAGGAGGAGGAGGAGAGGAGGCGGAGGAGGAGGAGGAGGAGGAGGAGGAGGAGGACGACGACGACGACGACGAAGACGAGGACGAGGATGAGGACGAGGATGTGGGATGGTTGGTGGGCCCCTCCCTCCACGCGCCCGCGGGCGTGGCCTCGGACGGGGGCGGCGAGCGCGGACAGTGGACTGTGGCCTTTGGCACCGCTCGGACGCGTCCTTTTTCTCTTTGGCGAGGACCGTCGAGGGGCGTCTTGGGCTATCCTGCGAAGAAATACGCGCACGAAACCAGGGAGTGCACCGCTAGAGGGAAACAATGAGTGAACACCCCCCCTGCCCCCCAAACTCAAAGTTGGCACGCGCGGGGGAGACTGCGGTCGAGGTGCAACTCGTCAGACCCACCGCCAACTTTGAACATTGGGGGGAGGGGGAGGCGTTCACAGATGAATGTGCTGTAGGTTTGCGTCGTGTCGACCAGCGGCGACCCCAGCGCGGGCGTTCAAGGTTGAACGCCGCCGGCGACCCAGAATCGATCGATGTTGAACGATCGGACGTTGCGGCAGCGGCCGATCGTTCAAGGTTGAACGATTCCCGCGGTGTCAAGAACCAAAACGCGGCGGTCGGCACGTCACACGAACCTGCCGTGGCACGAGTGTTCGCCTATTTTTTTCCGCAGGCAGACGGGGGATGCGCCCTGCGAGCGAACGGCGCGTGACCCGACGCGCCTCGCAGCAAGAATGCAGGGAACGGCAGGCCGACGGGGCAGCGCAGGGGGAGCACGTATGATGCAGCGACGACGTTGCCATTGCCCCGCCCCGACCAGGGCACCTCCCTCCCTCCTCCTTCCTCCCTTCCTCCTCCTCCATCCTCCTCCTCTCTTCCTCCTCCTCATCTATTCCACTGTATGGTTACCTCCTCCCCCCCACTCCCACTCCTCCCCCTCTTCCTCCCCTCCTCACCTTCCTCCCTCCCTCTCTCACTCCTCCTCCTCCTCCTCCTCCCCCTCCTCCTCCTCCTCCTCCTCCTCCTCGTCGCTCGGACGCGCACGAAACCAGGGAGTGCACCCGCAGAGGGAGACAATTCGTGAGCACCCCCCGTTGCCCCCCAAACTCGAAGTTGGCACGCGCGGGAGCAAGCTCAACGTTGGCACGCGCAGGCCCGAGTGGGTGGGGTCGGGGGTGGAGGGTTTCTCCGAAGGGCTTGGGCGACCCCTCCTCCTCCTCCTCCTTCAACTCCTCCTCCTCCTCCTCCTCCGCCTCCTCCTCATCGGGTCGCCTACGGCCCAGGGGGATCGCGCCACATCGCCGATGCCGCATCAGTCAGGCGATCGCAAGCATGGATGGAGGGGGCTTGGACTAGCGACGGGTCCCGTTTCCCTGGGGAATCGCGGATCTTCGCCGCCGAACGGGGCGGCGCCGGCCGCATTTTGGGGAGGGCACCTCCCCCGATCCATGGATTTGGCGACCGCGCGCCAGATCCATGGATCGTTGGTCCATGTCGGCGCGCCCCCGATCATGGGCCCCTGCTTGCACGCCGGGCGAGGGCCCCGCTTGGGAAGAGGAGCTGCTGCCCGCGTGTTTCCAAGGACGGCGGCGAGGCAGCATCTCATGAAGCTCCCGGGGAGCGTCCAGCGGGGGCCCCGCCGGGAACAAACAATAGCCTAAAAGTAGCCCCAAAAGGTCAAGAAATGATCAAAAAGAGGACCCCAGACTATTTTGGTATTATTTTTTGATTATGTTTGGGGTATTTCTCATTTTTCGTCGAAAATCCCCCTGTAGGAATCCGTGCACCAGTTGGCCTTGGGAAGCGCTTGGTCACAAGACCTCAGGAATCTCCCGCGGGAGCCGCGACCTGGGACGGCGCCGCCCGCGCGGAGGAGGAGGCCGGAGGAGGCTGGAGGGGGAGGAGGAGGAGCGAGACGAGAAGCCAGGGGGGCGGGATGTTGGAGGAGCCGCCGCCCGGCAGGTCGCAGACGGCACCCCCCTCGCTGGCGCTGCCGCTCGCGGGGCAGCTGGCCTCGCTGCAGGGCGCCGCGCGAGGGGGCGGGAGGGGGCATAGGGGCTCATCCGAGCGCCGTCGTCAACGTCAATGGGGAGACAGGCTCAGGGGGGATGAGCTCGTGTCTCGGGGTTTCTCCAGCTTCTGGACGTCCTCGTTATTCTTCTCCTCCTCCTCCTCCTCCTCCTCCTCC